GGAATAAAGGTTATAGCACTGGACTACTCCAAAGCAAAGCCAGACCTTTGTCAGACTAATGAACAGTTTTAGAGCTGAAATTCTCAGAAAAGTTCCTCTCCTCTTAAAGAGCAACCGCATCAAAATGAACACACCGCAGGCGAAGGATAAACTTTTTTTTGCTGTTGTGTTTTTTGTTTGTTTGCTTTTAAAGCAAAGTAAGAAGTATACACTAATATAGCCAGTCAGCCCAGACTGTTTACCCCTTTGAATACAAAGGGAGTTCTGAAAGCCACTGGTAATCCTGGTATTGTTTATATTCTGTTTGCAATGAATTCTGGCCAAGAATGAGAGTCTAGTCTAACTCAAAAAGCAAAAATAATGGATGCATAAAAATTACAAAATCTGCCATTTAAAAAAAATCTTAAAATTTTGAAAGTCATAAAGAAAAACAATGGGTTGAAGACATAGGCAGTTTAAAAGAAAAATTTCAGAACCAAAACATACCTGAGCAGAAGTTTGAGGCTGTATCAGCCAAGACCACTAAGCAGGTCTTCAAAAGGAAACAAAGTTCTACTCTTTAAGTGTAAAGTCATGTTTGCTAAACTATTTCCAAAGATTTATCTTTTTCATTCTGGACAGGGCCTATGATACGGACAGTTGTTAGCTGTCAAAGGGGATGTATACACTTTATTAAAATTGTACAGACTTAAAATACTTGAACCAGAATGAATGGTTAGTATATGGATTGCCAACACACACATATTTAATTTTTTTTTATTCTGTTGTTGTGGGGTGTTTTGGTTTCAGTGGTTGGGTTTGTTTTTTTTAAAAGCAGTATCTGGGAAGGCTGATTTTGATATAGCTGGAGCCTTCTGCTAACCCACTTGGAAAGCTGCATGCTTGATGCAAACTACAACCTGCAGCTCTTCTTTTACTGTTCTCCAATGGCTGGCACAGAGAAGGGGAATGGAAGGCTACGTAATTGTGTATAGATGTTCATAAAGCCAAAGAGATTACTGGTGGAAGTCTCCAGATAATCTAGAAAGCACAAAGGGAGCTGAGACCACATTTCTACTATCAGGAAGGCTCAAATCCTTACATGAACCAATTCATTTTCCAAATCAGAATCTGCCAGAGAAGTAACTTCCTATGTCACATACGAATTATTCGCTCATGGCATGAGGGGAAAGCAAGATCCCTGAGGCTGCAAAATTGGTTGTAATCTCTTAGCCAACATGAAAGAAAACAGCAGTAAGACTTAAGGACATATTGGCCACATCCAAGAGATTCATGTTTCTATTGCTTCTCTAATATGTAATTATGGCTATGAAGGAGTTGTTTCACAATTCAAATACTGATTTAATTAATAATTCTTTGACAGACCTATTTTACATTTAAATAAATCAGGGCACTCATCCATTAAATGGCTGATTTTAGTGCCAGGCATCACTACACAGTAATATTTTGAATTTTAACAATCTATAAGCAAAAAACATTTGCAACAAAAGGGCCTCAGGTAGTTGAATTAGACATCACCTGGAAATGACATTGTTCCATTGCTACAAATGAAGCCAAGGTGATCTAAGTGCATCAAAGGTTATAATCTGGGCACGTAGGGATGAACAACTTGCAAAAAGTTATAGGGAAAAAATAAAAACAAAAAAAAGAGATACAGATGACTTTGGAAATAACAACAGGCCTAGGATCTAAGATTAAATGCTTAATTGAAGGACAGGCTATAGGGCAGTTTACTGATATTTGTTGCTACCTGAAAAAGAATCATCATTTAGATGTGTTTGAACTATACTTTAAATATGTTAAAAAGGAATTAAATAAGTTAAAGGACAGAGATTTTGCCATTACCACATCAGATGCTTGCTAGCCTTGAAATGCTCTCCCCGCAGAACACAGCTTAAGAGAATTCAAGTGCTCCATAGGCAGGGAGAGAGGAGAAAGTTAACTTGGACACCACTACTATTTTCTTAATGAAGTAACTCTTGCTTCCAAACTGGAGCTCGTGAGGATTCTTCCTACTAGACACACTGGTGAATATTTTTATTGCCTGGCACTATCAGCATAGGAAGCAATTAAAATCCAAATGTGTCTCCATGACTTACAGGTCACTACTAAAGTTGAGGCCTTTATAGTTTGATAAGTAACCATTTAAATATTCTTTGTTTTTAATTTTAGTCAGATAACTAATTTAAGTTGAGGGTTGGGGGTGGTTGTTGTTCTTAATGTGAAATGGAAGTGTCCCCTGCTTGAGCAGCTGAAGAGGCAAGCACAGAAGAGAGTTTGCTCCCTTGCACCAGCTTATCTGGAGAGATGTACAGTTACTGGGAATGCTCCAGGAGCCCACCAGGTGTCCAGCTGCCCTCCAGGACAGGGAAAGGTTTGCCTCTCTGTTCCACATTAACATCTGAGAGCAGGACTTAGAGGAGTGTCTTCAGTGAGCAACTGTAAGGAACCCTGTGAAGGGAGGACTGCTTTTGCATTCTGACTAATCTCAATTTACAAAGAATGCCTCAGCTCTACCTCAGTTTGCTACAGCTCCTCACCCCGCAGTGATGTAAGGGCATCCTATGCACTAGTGCAGGTAGAAAAGTAACCATTTAGAGAGGCAGTTGAACTGAACTGTTTTTTTGCAGACCCAAAAATAAAACCAATCTGTTATTATGAACCTTTATTAAGCGGCTCACATTTCAGTATAAATCACACTAAAAAGATTTTTTAAAAATATATTTACACTACAGTGCTGACACATTTAAAATGAAAAAATTGGTATAAATAAGCTCTATGGAAAAGCCTGGAATTGTCAAAAAGAATTCTGGCTCATCTTACAAAAAATATATATGTTAAATGTCAGCTCTACTCTAAAACCTACAACTCAAAATTATTTAAAGACTTCTTTATGTTAAACCTGCAGTGTTTACAGTGCATCTGGCCCTAAGTGCTTTGATACTTCACAGTTATGGACAGGCACTGAGGAATGTTACAAAGCTACATAACTATTTTCTGTAACAGATGCGAAGGCAAGTCACAAACTTGCCTCACAGAATTTATGAATCTTTACATTATTACATCATTAAGTTTAAAAAGGAATTTAAAACCATATATACAAATTTAGCACAAAAAATCATCCTCTCTTTGTCCATGCAGTTTTGGATATGATGAACTATGTTGTCTTGTATCATCTGGATGTACGTGACCTCCAGAGCATAACTTGCCTTGCAAATCCTTGTTGCCAGGTTCAAATTTAGAATCCATTTCCAACTTAAATCCTGTCAATTCAACAGGATCCAATTTAGTCTGAACATTCTGGCCCCCGGTGTCATAAGGTGCCACTGTTTTTACAGCAAGATCAACATTCATGGGTTCTTCTTTTATTCGGTGAGATGCAATGGGTTCATGTTTTATTTACATAAATTACTGCTGCAGATACTTTGTCTGCAGAGCATCTGAAAATTTGGTGTCTTCGGAGGTATTTTTGCTTGTCATACAAATCCTGCTGTCAGTCTGAAGTCCAATAACCGAAGACTTGGGGTCTGCAGAGGTCTCTGCTTCAACAGTACTTGTATTTTGTGAAAGTTCTTCCTCTGTATGATACAGCTTGAGCCGGATGTGCCAAGCCAAACTGCACACAGCTGAAACTGTTTTGAACTGGTGCACAACATTCCTCGGGATAAAATAGATGTCATTATCAAATAACTGAATTCTGGCATATCGAATGCCTTCCCTTCGCAGTTGATTAAGTTTTGCATCATCAACCCACTGGACACACTGCAGGAAAAAAGGAAGGGGGGGAGAAAGGGTGAAAACTCTGATTTGGGACTCAGAGGACACCTGATAAACAGCTCATAGTATGCTTACCTGTGAGAGTGGAGGCTCATGCAAATCTAATTGCATTCGCTGAACTACCTCTAAGAAGTCTTCAGCATGAAAACAAATGACATCTTTGGTTATACGAGGCTGCTCAGACCTACAGAAGAGGAAAACTGCACAGTCAGAGGCTCAAACTAACATGCTATAGAGAATAAGAAAACCTGCAAACAAGGATACAGTGAAGGCAAATGAAGGAACGCAACAATTCTAGCATAACTTACTTTAGATGAAAAAGTTTAACTAAAATGGCTAATTGTCAAACACAACCTCATTAAAGCAGTTAAATGAATTAAACACAATTCAGCAAAGGTCAACAAAACTAAAACTAAAAATTAAAAATATTGAATTGTCCTCTGTTTGCCTTGATGCTCAAAGACAGATGCCCCAGATATGTTAGACTTACTCTGTCTCTTTAACGTGATACATCCATCAGGCACCTCAAAGTATGCAGCAGTCTGACTAGTATTATGGGAAACATTGCTTAGTATCTTGCTCAGTTAGCAGTAAAGCAGATGCTACATTAAGCTGCCACAATGCTAGTGAACAGTAAACACAGGAAATCCTCCAAGAACATCCCTTAAAAATACATTCTTATTTGTGCTCACTATAGAGCTGCAGAAGAGCAGTATCAGAATTAGGGTTTGTCTCTGTATTCAAACTGCTAGAATTCACCTCTTGTCCCAAAACACCTCCCCCAAAGAAATGCACACCATTTATAAATTCCTCTAGAGACAGTATCTAGATTTAGCTAACAAAAGGCAGAAACATCTATCAAGGGGTAAGGAAGGATTCTGATCTAAAAACCAAACTCAGTTCTTCAACAGAAACATAAAAATAAGCTCCGTGTGTGTGTTTTTGAGGGATACTGGTTTTTGAAAGGTTTTTTGAAGATGTACTGTTATGAAGATTTTATTTCATAGGATAAAGCTCACATTGGAGTGGTTTTGCAAGGAAAATTCATCACCCAAAAAAAGCCGGGTTAATGACTTCCCTCCTTCATCCTCTGCAGTCCTCCCAGGGCTGACAGCTCACGGTAACAGCCTACACGGCCAGGCGCTGCCAGCAGGAACCACCAACACACGGGTGTCCCCCTGCAGCCGCCGCCCGTGTCACCAGGTTCTGCTGGGGCCGCTTGAGGGGCTGAGGCACAAAACTGCTCTGTACCTTTCAAATGTATTGAGCAGGTGTTGAAGCACTCTTGTTTGAAAGCAAGATGGTTATCGATTTGATAACTATGTGGTGTTATTGATGTGCTAAGAAGCAGGTGATGATGTTAATTCAGCTTTTTAAGACGTGTTTGGATTATTTAGGTCATGATCTCAATAAAGCAAAAAAATAACCTGTTTGAGGCTATTTGCAACAGGAAATTAAATATTGCAAGTATATTGGGGGAACGTTCAGACCACATCTTTTTACTTTCAATTTTACAAAGACTAAAACGTCTCTATTTTGGTGTATTTACTTCCGAAGAGGATTTAAGCACCGAAAGCAAAAAGCTTACAGAAACATCTCTAAGCAGACGCATAAAAAATATTACCTACATGAATCAACTTTTTATAATGTAGATGTTTTTTATTTTTAAAACAAATATGTACCTGCATCTGGAGTTAACAGTATTTGTAAATGAATAATTAAAATAAATACAATATCTGCATACTAAAATAACTTCATCCAAAGCAATATTTTCACAACAGTGACTACCTGCTTTACACATTGTACAAGACAAAGTGTAGTTAATGTTTTTTTAATCATTCCTTTTCTCATTCCCTACATGTGCAACACTATGCATTACCAACTCTGTGCTGCAATTCTATCAGAAAACTACATTCCTTTTGCAAACACAAAGAAAAATTACCAGATTTTTAATTCTGCAGTTGCAGATTTTATATTTAATCCCAATTTTGAAATATTTTGTAAAACCTGAAGTTTAGCGGGTGTCATTATCCACTCAAGTAAAATAGTAGCAGAATAGTTCAGTCAGATGTCCAAAAAGACATGAAATTCAAACAGAATTATAAGATAACTTGAGAAAAATCCATTTAAATCCATATTAGAGCACTGCAAGAACTACACTGGCAATTTTTTCCCCTGAGCCTCCTTCTTCAAAATGACCCCTGGAATGTCTTAATCTTTCCGTTTTGTTCAAGTACTCAAACAGATTTAAAACAAAAAAATAACCCCCAGATTTTTTCAAAACCTCCATGCATGGTGTTTTCTTTAAAATGAATCTACCCATAGCTTACAAATTATGGCAAAGCTAATATGTGAAATTATTTTCAAGTGTTACATTAATTAATAATGGTTCTTAATCATAAACACCAATTAGTTCCCTTCATGCAAGAAGTAACTTTTCAAAAATTATACCAAAAAAGTGGACAGAGGTCAAATCAAGCTCAAAATACACAATTTTTATTGTGTTGGGTTGTATGTTTTCCTCCTCTACATATGTCAGTCCCAGATTTTTTATTCTGCATTAAGATACATTTTCAGTCCTCAGTCTAAAGTCAAATGCTGATAGCTTGGGTTTTTTTCCTCTAACTGAAATACTTTTAATTTTATTGAGTCGTTTTGCCTATTTTAACATCGCTTTTTAATTTACACAACTTTTATTTTTCCAATTCCATTCACTTTTTCAAGCTCAAAAGGAGTTTTAATGAAAGGTAAATAGACATCCTTTTTCACAAGTTCCAACCTATGAGCAAAGATGACTGTTTAGATCTGAAAAGCCAGAAAACTTATTTTAAGAATGTAAATAAATGTGCAATGATTTCTAAGGGATGAGAATGGAAAGTTCCCACAGACATTTAAAATACTATCAGTTTAAGTTCTTGTTAATTTTCAAAGACCAACAAGCTTGGGGAGCAGGGGATTTTTTTGTTCGGTGTGGTTTGAGTTTGTTATTTGTTGTTGTGTTTTTTTACTTTCTTTGATAAAGCTTTGAGTCTCTCTATGTGCAAACTCTAATTTACATCTACACAGTATCTCACTTAGCTCTTGCCCCACTATCACTGCTCAGTTGTATTTCACTCCAGCTTCTCACAGTCAGAGCAAGCAGAAAATTTAAGGCTCCAGCTACAATCAACCTAAAGAGAAAACAAACTGCAAAAACAAGAAATCCAAAATGAAAGTGCACTAACAGCTGAACAATCCAGCTCTTCCCCAATGGCAATTACTCAGTTTTCTATCTCAATGAAGTCATGCACTGTAACACAGATTTGCACAATTTCATCCAAAGGGAATTCACTCTTCAGTCTTAACATATAAAGAGCAAAAGGTGGTTATATTGTTTATGTATGCAGTGGTAACCATCAAAACTAAGGTAATTCTCCTAAACCAAGGTCAGAAAGTCCTGAAAAACACTTCTTCAGTCTGGGCCAGGAAGCCCATCTGATTAGGGACTTTTTATTTGGCTAAAATGTCAACAGATTCAGAAGAGAGAGACATTCATTTCCTCAATCTCACCTAAGAATTCCAAAGACAGTCACCAAAGAGTATCACACAACCTCTAACAGGATTCTTCCTAGGTGATCTACCTTAAGTACACCAGGGTTTTAACAGCCATGACTGAAGCAGAAGCATAAAAATTCTGCTCATCCCCAGCCAATACAAAGAATTGACAAAAAGTTTTCTTGTGCACTAATGAGGCAGAAATTTGGGTCAGTCCATATGTATTATTTAAAGCAAAACAAAATGTGAAGCATTTTTACATCTAACATTAACTTGGTTACAGCAACTCAATTACAGCTAATAAAATGTTACTGCAAGGCACCTTTCTAGTTTCAACCATACAGCTCAAGTATACCCAATCTAGCAGAGGGCAAACACATCTAGCACACAGGGATAAAGGGCGAAAAAAATTCCAGTATCTACCAAGTCTTCATTGAATCTCTAATGCTATATTAACCTATTCTGTGCTTCTTCTACCAATTATAAATGGAAGTTCAAGTGAATATTTTTCAAACACTCAGGTGAGTAAGTCAATCAACACATACCACTCTCCACAGTGCACAGCCTTCAATACTCCCACAGCTGCTGTAGTCTGTCGTTCAAAACCTTGTCCTATGTGATCTGCATGGGCTCGTGTCCGGTCTTCAAACAGCATTTCACGGGGTTCACTGGTTCGAGGTAGGTACTGCAAGTTTTTTATTTCATTGGTAGTTCTGTGTAAGAAAAATGCATTAGCATTGAAAATCCTCTTAATTACCTAACTTCAACCCTTAGCCAATAGTTGTCCCTTCAGTGTCAACTTATAATCAAATGAGAAAACATTTAGGACAAATTAAAAATATCACAAGCTATGCAAAAAATTGGAACCCATAGGTAATTTAAAAGAAAAACAAAAAACAAACCCAAAAAACCCACAAAGAAAAACCCCAAACAAAACAAAATGACCACACAAACACCACCAGAAGAATAAAAACCAAAACCAACAAGAGTGTCAGGGCCCTGGGTGCCCTAAAAGACCCTAAGGACTGAGCAGCTTCACCTGCGGTCTCCATCCACAAAGCCAAAGAGCCTAGGAGCTCTATTTAATCTCAGGTTGTGACTTTCTTACACTGCAGAAGTACTGATCTTCACATCACCAGAGGTGTGCTGGGCCATACTTGCTTCTCAGCTTGACCTCAGGACGGCTTTGTCATGATGCCTGGCACTCCCTGGGCCAGATCCTCCCTGGGCCAGATCCTCCCTGGCAGACTGGCTTCCTGGATTGACCTCAGACCTTTCCCATCACCACACACTTGCCTGGGCTGAGTCTGGACCCCAAACCCAAGGTCTGCCCTACCTGCCTCCCTCAGGCACTTGGAGACTGGGCCCTACAGTCCTCAGCCCATGGCAGGGAACTGCTGGCTTCTGCTGCTTCCTGACCATTAGGCAGACATTTCAATTGTCCCTCTTCATCATACACATTTCTACCAAGCCACTGAGAAATGTGTATGTAAACTTAGTTCCATGTTGTAGAACTGGTAATAAGAATCAACAAATACTACTTCTTCAGGGTTTAATGAAAGCGAAGGAAATGCTGCAGAGCAGGAACAGTCCCACCAGACCATTTTCTTGGCCACTTGGAGCCAGCCGGGTGTGTCACATTTTTCCAAGAGCTGCTTATAAACATAGGATGGCCAAGGTTGGAAGGGACACCTGGAGACTGTGTACTCCCAACATCCCCATTCTAAAGCAGGTTGCTCAGGACCTTGTCCAGGCAAATTCTGAGCAACTCAAAAGACAGGCTCCACAACCTTTCTGGGCAACCTGTTCTAGTGTTCAATCATCCATACACTAACTTTATTTTCCCCTTAGTTTAACTGTAATATCCTGTAATTCAGCCTGTGCCCATAACCTCTGGTCACATCACCAGGCACTGCTGAGCAAAGTCCTTCTTACAACCTCCCATCAGATGCTAACACACTGATATACCACTGAACCTTCTTTTCTCCAGGGTAAATCCCAGTTCTCCCATGCTCACCTTTCATTCACCAGACCTGCTCCTGTATCCCCATGTTTGTCTTAGACTGACGAGCCCAGAACGAGACACGCTAACGAAGATGTGTCTCACCAGCGATGAGCTGAGGGGAAAAAAAATCACCCCTCTCAACTTGCTGGCAGTGCTCTTCCTAATCTTCTCAAGCTGCTCACAAATGCACATTGTCAGCTTATGGTCAACCTGTCATCCACCACAACCCCAAAGTCCTCCTCTGTCAAGCTGCTGTCCAGCCAGTTGGTCCTCAGACTATGCTGGTGCATGGAGCTACTCCTCTTAGCAGCAGGGCTCCGCACATCCTGTTGTTTACTTCACGAGTCCACTGAACTAGCCCATTTCTACAGACTCTCAATGTCCTGCAGCAAAAGACTTTGCTGCATCAACCAGTCCTTCCAGTTCAGTATCACCTGCAAATTTGTGGAGGGTGTACCCTCTCCCATGATGTTGTTGATTAATAATCATGTTAGGCAGCATTGACACAAGGTATCAATGTCTGGGTTACTACAGTAACAACTATCCTCCAGCTGCACTTCATGCTGATCACAATCCTTTAAGAAAAGCAGTTAAGCCAGTTCTTGAAGCCCTTCCCTGTCCATCGATCCAGTTTGTCCTTCATTAATTTGTCTATTAGGGTAAGACAGGTGCCCAGTGTGGAAAGTCTTGCTAAAGTCAAGATAAACAACACCCCTGGTACTTCCCTCACCCTGGGAGCCTGTAATTTTGTTCTAGAAGGCTATCAGGTGGATACAGCATTTTTCCCCTTTCATAAATCAATGTTAGCTTTTCCCAATTATTATCCTGTCCTTCATGCTTAAAACAGCATCCTTCCCAGGTTGAAGGTGAGGCTAACTGGCCTGCAGTTCCTCAAGTCCTGCTTCTTATCCTTCTAAGTTATTGGAGTGACATTTGCTTTCCTCCAGTCCTCAAGAACCTCTGCTGATTACCATGACCTTTCAAAGACAATTGAGATTGATCCTGCAATCCTACTGGCCATCTCCCACAGCACTTGTGGGTATAACCCAGCAGGTCCCATGGCTTTATGTCTGTTTAATCTGTACGTCTAATACATTCCTTAACTTGTTTCTCCCTCACTGAAGATAAGTAGTCCTTGCTCCAGACCTTCCTACTCTCTTCAGGACCTGTCGTTTCTGAAGATAAACATCCCCAGTAAAGACAAGGGCAAAGAAAGCATGATGTATCTTGGCCTTTTCTGTTTCCTTTGTCTCCAGGCCTTTTGCTCCATTCAGCAGATTTTCCCCAGTCTTCCTTCTGCTGTTCATATGTCTGTAGAAGTCTTTCTTGTCCCCCTTCACATCCCTTGCCAAATCCAACTTCAGATGGTCTTTTGCTTTAACTGCATCCCCTTCATGGATCAACAGTGTCTCTGTACTCCTTTTGAGGCACCTGACCCTGCTTCAACTTCTTCCGTGTTCCCTTTTAATGTCTGAATTTTGAAAAAGAAAACTCCAAAGACTTAATTTCTCATGACACATAATACTCAGGTTCTGCAGAGGACACTCCTACTCTTGAGCTGGTACTTATACACAGTACCACAACAACAGCTAAAGATGTCATTTAATGTTGGAGGTGTCACCCTACAGGTGGCAAAGAAGCCCTTGTCCCTTGAGGTCTTTAAACATCCACTCACCTTTAAGAACAGGGAAATTAATTCCATTCCCCTGCCATAGATCAGTAGTTGTATGCCTGTTCATATTTTTTCACCTTAAAATCCTATTAAAACTCCAAAGAGGACCAGAACCTTACTTGGTCAGATGGCAAACAATTCAAAAAAAACAACAAAAAAACACCCCACAAAAAAAAAACAAAACACCAACAAAAAAACGACCAAACAAAAAAACTCACATCCTTAAAAAACAAAGCAACTTAAAGTATATTTTAAGATTAAGACTTACATAAATTTATACTAAGCTACAGTATGAACCAGTAAAAGCTTTGGGATAAAAAGAATTTGTAAAGAATACTAATCAGACACTCATCAAACAAAATAATTCAACATACCTCTTCCTTTTGAAAGGTGACTTTGGCATGTCAGCCACAGGGATCATCTGTTCTCCTGGGCGTACCCACATAATGGGACCATCATCACTGTCTTTACGACTCTCTAATTTTAAACTAGAAAGTGTTCCCCATGGCAGTGTACACTAATGGGAAATACAAGCCACATTGTCAAAGTGAGCTATTTTAAAAACGTTTTTAAAGCAGCCTCTACCTGTCATGATAAAAACATTTATTAGACCACTCAGTTATCTAAGCAAGTATTACACACTCTCACTTCATTTTAACAGTACTAGATAACATACTGTCCCCCTTCTCCCAACCCAATCCCTTCTGTCCTTACTTTTAAGAAGGGTGATTCTTCCAACATATCAAGAAATTCAGGGAAGTAATCCCCCACCTCCTCATCAACTGCTCCAACCAGGCTGATCTGTCTCATTGGGCCAGCTCTATACGTACCATGAGAGTATGTTCTTTTTACCTACAAGTAAAATACAACAGCAAAAGTTATACCAAGTCCACTACCACTCAAAGCCCATATTTAATAAACACCTTTAATGACTATGCTTGTTTCCTGACTGATACTAGTCCTATAGTCTTCAGTATACTTAAGATTATTAAGCCAATTATTATGAACTCATCACCAAAGACAGAATTATTATTAACAATACGACAACCTGTGTTTTGTCTATTTTAAAGTCAGAAGGTAAGACTGAGGAACTATTTATTGTGTTTCAAGAAAATAACATTCCTAAGCAGTAACTGTGAAAAAGTTATTAATGTATATTCTGCTCAATGACTAGTAAGTAAGGATTCTTACCTTGATTACTCAAGCTGAATTTCTACCTTTTTCCTGTGACAGTTAGGCAGAACCCTCAGTTTCAACTAATTAAACATTTCCTCTGCTAATCAATCTCTCCAGTATGGCCTCTGTGTGAACACACTAGCTGAAGCTAATTATCACAGTTAGTACAGGAAGAAAGACAATTAGTTATTCATTCATTTTTGCTGTGCCAGCATGTCTTGTGCTTACTTGAGATTTCAAGGACTGTAACATTCACCTCATGAAAAATCTTTCAGTTTGAACTTGAACAGAAATACATTTTGCCGTAAGATTTTTTCAATAATCCTATCTGTTGTGTTGCATCAATAAAATACTTCAGACATGAGAGATTGATGAGGAACCCCTCCTCTTAAGCTTCCAAACTCCTATTTAACAGGCTGAAAGATACAGTGCTATTATTAGAATAAATATAATCAGATCAGAAGAGAGCAAAAAGCAGACAGACTGCTGCACAAACCAAGTAAGGCACCTGCACTGCATCTCTAGACATTCTGCATCTGTAACAAGACCATGAAAAAAGGTGCAAGGAAAACAGTTAATGAAGTACTGCTTAGCTACCTATGGTCCTCATCCAAACAGACCATTAGAATTCCTAGTAACTATACAGTGCAGAGAATTAGCCGCAGTCCCTAAAGATTGGTCTAAATAACAAAACATGGAACAATACTGTGCCCTTCTGAGAAGCCAGACTGGTGTAACCAGATGCATTCCAGAAATGCAGAAACAAATAATCTTCAGATCATCTCAGTCATCATACACACCCAGACAATTGAGGACTGACTAAAAGTAGGATTTTACAGAATGTGAGCTAATGCAATGGCAAACCATCACAGCCATACTGAAAGGAGTACTACTGCTGGGCAGTAATATTCCCCTACTCCCCAAATCCTCAGTCATATAGTCCTGTAGCTTTTTTTGCACAGATGGCTGGTGATTATTTGATAAAATACGAGAAAACATTAATTTCTGCTGAATCTGCATCAGCTCAGCCTCAGCTGTATCTGCACTGGCATAAAACATCAAGAGCACTACGACAACGAAAAGACACTCATCATTACTAGCCTACTAGATAGACCAATTCCCCAAAATGTGCCCTCAAACAACTTTTTGAAGAGTCAAACCTGTTACAATGCATTGATAATCTTAACATGCAAATGGATATTCCTTTCACCAGCATAAATAGCTTAGTATTTCAGCATTCCAGGCCAGGATACTGTTTTCACCCACAACTCTGGTTAAAGGGAACCTTTTTTCTGCTTTTTCCTTGCTGTCATCTGCTACCACTGCTATTCTCCTAAGTAACAAACAACAGGACAAGAGATAATGGCCTCCAGTTGCACCATGGGAGGTTTAGACTAGATACTAGGAAAAATTTCCTCACCAAAAAGGTACTTAAGCACTGTAACAGGCTACCCAGAGAAGTGGTGGAGTCACTATCACTGGAGGTATTTAAAAGACACGTAAATGTAGCCCTTAGGGACATGGTTTACTGGTAAACTTGGCAGCATTAGGTTAACGGTTAGACTCAATGACCTTAAAGTTTTTTGCAACCTAAATGATTCTATGATTCACACAGCATATGATAAACTAGTTGTGAAACTACTCCAACTGAAAACTCAACAACTTCCCCAAAAATACTAACTGAAGTTAGAAGAGGCTAAGATGCTTTCAGCTGATCAACTCACTTGTCTGGCCTACGTACCACTCTTTGTTGGCAGTGAAGCATAACATCAGCAGTGTTTAAGTGCAACATAATCTTTGCTTCAGGTTAATCAATTAAGAAATTTCTTATATATTCAAAAAAGACCATACCACTGAAAGTAAAAACTGAAATCTTAACTCAGCCTTTTCAGGAATTTTTATTCATCACAATTCACTGCTAGCTCTCCTGATCAATTATGTTGCCCCTCATTCACCAGGCAGGACAGACTTCTTTTCCAGATCCAGTCTGGGAGAGGCAAAATACCAAAAACAATTCTAAGAAAATGTCAGTTACAAACAATGAACTGTTTCTTCTGGGACCGTATTAAGAGTCCTATATTTGCAAATACAGAGAATGAATCACAGAATCATTAAGGTTGGAATGGACCTTAAAGATCATCTAGTTCCAACCCCCCTTCCATGAACAGGGAAAGTTTAAGTGTTTAAGAACCCTATGATGGGTTAACCCTAGGCAACAGCAAAGTATCTTACAGACCCTTGCTCACTCACCTCTGCCAGTCAAGCATGAGACATGGTAGAGAACAGGGAAAGCAAGGAACCACACAAGTCCAGACAGAGAACATTTAGTAAGTGAAGAAGAAAGAAAAAAAGGAACAAACACCAAATGGTATTCTTCACTACTCACCACCTCCCACAAGCAGACTGATGTTCAGCCAGTCTCTGAGCAATAGCTACCTTCCAGACCAACACTCTGCCCACTCCTCTCAGTATTTTATTGCTAAGTAGGTTGTTAACATCTTGTGGAATATCCCTGCAGCTGATTTGGGTCATCTTTCCCAGCTGTGTCCGATCCCTACTTCTTGCCCATCACAGCCTTCTCACCAGAGGATCCCAAACAGGGAAAAAGAGAAAAGCCTTGACACTGTGCTAGTCCTGCTCAGCAATAGCCAACACACCAGTGTATTGTCAACAGTTTTAGTTACAAATCCAAAACACAGATGCATAATAGGCTGCTATGAAGAAAATTAACTCTAACCTCTCCAGACCCAGTATAAACAGAAAATAAAACCATGCTGGTGATGAAAAGGGAAGATCTACTCTTTTTCACTTATTTCCTGCTAACATTAGGTCTTCCAAAAATGGACAGGGAGATGGTTTAAGGAACCAATCTGATTTTAATCCACAAATTAGCTGAATAGTTTTAGAAAATTATGTAAATAAGAATTAAATAAACATGTAGCCCATAGAGACTAATGACTGGCCAGAAAGAACAAAAGGGAGTCTGGAAGAAGAGGCAGCTGCTGGCAGTGAAAAATAACTCCTATCTCATGTCTCCACAGACTGGGTTACTGCATCCTTAACTTGACTCAGGTCAGGAGTTGCTATTTAAATGACACTATCTTAGATTAGGCTTGTTGCAGATGACATCAAGTTGGACAAGAGTGTTTGCTGACTCAAGGGTAGAAAGGCTCTACACAGGGACCTGGACAGGCTGGATCAATGGGCTGAGGCCAATTGTACAAGCTTCAACAAGGCCAAGTGCCAGGTCCTGTGCCACAACAACCTTGCACACAACTTGTGCAATGCTACAGGTTTGGGGAAGAGTGGCTGGAAAGCTGTCTGGCAGAAAAGAACCTGGAGGTGTTGACTGACAGCAGCTGAATATGAGCCAGCAGTGCATACAGGTGGCCAACAGCATCCTGACTGGTATGAGACTGGTATGGCCAGCCAGCAGGACTATGGCAGCAATTGTCCCCCTGCACTCAGCACTCAAGTACTGTGTTTAGGTCTGAGCACCTCAATACAGGAAAAACACTGAGGTGCTGAAGCAAGTCCAAAGAAGGGCAATGAAGCTGGTGAAGGGTCTGGAGAACAACTCCTGTGAGAAGCAGCTGATGGAACTGTGGCTGTTTAGTCTGAAGAGAAGGCTGAGGGGAGACCTTATTGGTCTCTACAGCTACCTGAAGTGGTTTAATTACCATCCCTGAAAGTGTTCAAAATTCATAGGAACATGAGTCAGCAGTGGGCTGGTAGAGCTAGGCTAGCAGTTAACTTAAAGGTTAGGCTGGATCTCATAGATCTTACAGGACTTTTCCTACCTGCACAATTCCATGATTCTATAAGTAGTTAGAAAAACACATATATAAAAAGGTGAGGTCATTCTTAAGAGGGAAGAACTAGCTAGCAAACAAAATTCATCTTCACTCACTCCAAAATAAGACTGCTACTAATACTGTGAGAACACCAAAAACTTTCCATTGATGTTTGGCCAATGACAAAAGTAAAATTAATCCTCTTTAAGACAACAGCAAAATACATAAAATTTATGGCATATTAGATAATGGCAACACTTCCCTTTTAATGTCAGTGTCCTTTGACTGGTTTGTTTGTAGGAAGAGAAAAAGATTATGTATTTTTGAACTCACAAAAACAATAATGTATTGATATACTAAAACCAATACTTCATCAAAATCTATACATTAAATTTTGCATTGACCAAAAATCAAATATTATACACCTTTTTATAATATAATCTTCCTGAATGTAATTTTTTACAAGTTAAAGTGTGACTATGTTTTTGGATGTTACAAATTTGCTCAAATAAAAGGCTGTAACAACCTAAATCCAGAATAAAAGGACTCAGCTACACACAGTTCTTCTAGTATGTGGTCAACATGATCAGGATCAATACACAGACACTAAAAAAAATCACCGATTAAATACAGAATAATACAACGGACAGGTAAAATAAACAGAAACATATCAATGAATGAAAATTATATAGCCTAACTTCTCATGTAACTTAACTCTGAAGTATGTCACCTACAAACACACAAAAGGAGACTTTTGCATCAGGGTAATGGAAAATTATGACAAACATTCAATTCAGATTAGTAAAACTTAAGAATTATCTGCTTCCATGACTAGTATGGCATCAACTGATTTTTTAGTGTAACTTTACTTGCTCAGCTTTA